TTTAATAACGTTACTATAGTATGCAATAAATTCTTTGATATTTAGGCAAAATTTTTCCCTATTTTGGTTTAATAGTAATTAATTGAGCAAATATCAATTTAGATTGCTTCAATTTTAATGTATTCAATGACAGTGCTGTTCTTGGTACTATGTTAGACTTTTTTTATGTGAATTATACTTTTTTTACGAGAAATACGAATAATTGTCTAAACATGATTTAAATTAAATATTTGTATAGTAGTACAGTCATCTTAGTCAAAAAAAGGGATCAACCTCGGAATCTAACGGAATAAGCTGAATTTTTGTACAAACCTTTATTTTAGCATTACAAATGTTGTCTCAAAAGTCACATATGCCAACGTGTGAGCGACCTTAGATATTCAAGGTCAAAGGTCGCAAAAATCAGTTTTCTGAGAATATCTCGTTTTCTCTGCCTCCTAGCTTATTTTCATTTATTATAAAAGTTGTAGAGCATAAATTTCTCTACAAGTTTTGTGTAAAACATTTTTTTATACGTCTAATCGTTTTTGAGATAGAGGGCGCAGAGTGTGGAGCGCTCAGCCATACGTACCTTAGCGCAAGGTAAATCGTAAATCTCAATCTATTATACCGTTTTTTAATTAATTATGTATTAAATATTACTTAAATAACAATTTAATACCTTATACTTATATTTAATTTCTTTTAAATCAAATATATTTATCTTAATAAATATCCTATATTTTAATTTAATTTGAATGAAGGGATAATTGGATCAGAGTAGGAAAAAACTAAAAAAATATTTTTTTAAAGTTGTTTTAATATTATTATTATTAATCTTCATCTTCTTCATCCTCGTCTTCTTCAGGTTGGCCAGCAATTTCAAACTCATTCTCATCATCACTCTCCTCGTTATCATTGACATTAATTGACATATCTTCAAAAATTTCAGTAACTTTTTACAGATAAAACACAAATCAGCCATGTTAACCTTTAAAATATTACGAATATTATCTGTCACAACTTAAGTTGCTTTAAATAAAAAGGTTAGGTATACCAAACCTTTTTATTTATAGCAAGCCAACTATACTGCCCTACTATGGAGAAAGGCAGTAACTGCTAAACAAGAAATTTGTGGGAAATAGCATAAACAACATTTTTATAATAAGCACATTTCTGTGTTGAATTTGGATACAAAATGTCAATAGCTTTACCATAGAACAATAAAACGCATTTTGCATTTTTTTGTAGTTACTGCCTTTCTTCATAGTAGGGCAGTATAGTATTTCCAGGTCTGCACAGAAAAAAGGCTAGCATAGCCTGAATGGGTGAGCATTAAACCAATGGGATCTTGTAATCCGTATTCCTGAATAACAGTTCCTATAATACCAATAGGTAGTTAGCACTTGGTTTATAATCGTTTACTGTTTTTAAATTAAAAACAAAAGTTATCGCTCCTAAATCTATTGATATTCATATTGATATTTATTTGTTAGAATGTTAGAATTTTATTGCATTAAATACTAATTTGATTTATTTAATAACGTTACTATTGTATGTATACTATGTATACATTTAACGCAATAAATTCTTTGACATTTAGGTAAAATATTTTCCTATTTTGGTTAAATAGTAATTAATTGAGCAAATAACAATTTAGATTGATTCAATTTTAATGCATTCAATGACAGCGCTGTTCTTGGTACTATGTTAGATTTTTTTATGTGTGTTATTTTAAAAGTAATATCTGGATCCAAGAGATGACCAGAGATAACATATTCAAGGCAAATTTATTTAATGCCTTTTGTTCTTAAAATGCATTTATCATTAATTAGAATAACATTAGAATATATTTAGAATGATTCAATTCATTATTTAATTATTTGTATTTTAAAGGTAAGTAATATTTAATGACTATTTGATTTAAAAGACATATAAAAATTAATATAAGGTATTAAATTGTTATTTAAGTAATATATAATAAATAATTAATTAAAAAACGGTATAATAGATTGGGATTCACCCTTACCTTGCGCTAAGGTACGTATGGCTGAGCGCTCCACACTCTGCGCCCTCTATCTCAAAAACGATTAGACATATAAAAAAATGTTTTACACAAAACTTGTAGAGAAATTTATGCTCTACAACTTTTATAATAAATGAAAATAAGCTAGGATGCAGAGAAAACGAGAAATTCTCAGAAAACTGATTTTTGCGACCTTTGACCTTGAATATCTAAGGTCGCTCACACGTTGGCATATGTGACTTTTGAGACAACATTTGTAATGCTAAAATAAAGGTTTGTACAAAAATTCAGCTTATTCCGTTAGATTCCGAGGTGAAATGCCTAGATGACTGGACTATAGAGCAACATCAATAGATACAAAATAGAGTAACCGTACCGTACCTAGACCAGTAATAAAATACCGTCGTTTTTATTAACCTTACCATGATTATAAATGACATTAAACCCATGTATTTAAAAAGGATTTAACTATGATTTCGCGTAAAAATCGAACAAATTTTGGACATTTGTATCTACATCCAAATGGCACATTTTTTCAAAAAAAAAAAAAAAAAAATTCATCCATTGGCCGCTGTGGTTTTCAGGCCCTAAGTCACTCTACTGTGTTAAAAATAGATAAATTTCGATATTTTGTAATAACATTTTTATTTAAAAACGTATCGATTTGAAATTAAGATAAAATGTAGACCTTATTAGTGGCAATAAATCCACGTTTTTATTTTAACATACAGGGGGCGCTGGGGACAATTTAATTTAAAATTTTACCATTTTTTAAGGGTTAAAAAGTCGAAGAAGCAACGTTGTTTTATAATTTTGAGTATATCACTTTAAAGTACTAATAATTAACTATTATTTGATATATAAACTTCTACATGCAAATTATGTTTTTACGAGATTTTTAAGTTAGGCCTTCAAATAATACTAACTTGTTTTACAAATTAAATATTATTTTATCTAGTTTTATAAGACAATGTATTATATATTACATATTAAACATTATATATTACATATAATATATTATATATAACATACAATTCTTACATATTTATTTAAAAAAATCGCCATAGATGGAGCTTTATTTATAATTTTTAAATTTTTTTAAGTTTACTAATTTTGATCATAGTAGGCATCATAGACTTTTCTCTATGGCTACCTATCATTGGAAGCATGAAAGATAATTTGACAGTTCAGTTTATAAGTTACAAATGACTAATTGCATTTCAATTTATAAGTGTACTATAAACTCACAACATGAATTTAATAAAATAAATAAACTAAATAATAATTATAGACAGTGTTAGCAAGTTAGAAATTATAATTTACTTTAATTTTATTTTTTGCTCCACAACCAAGCTTCAATTTATTTTTTACTCGATAAGCAAGCTTTAATTTTAATTCCAAACTGAGGAAATTAATATTTACCCAATATATAAATTGGAATAAAGACTTTATTTTTTATGTTGCAATCGGCTATTTAGATGTATCTATATTTTTTATTCAGTTGTTTTTCGATTTTTTGTAATTAGTTATTTTAAATTTTTTTATATTTAATATAATGTTATACAGGGTGTTTCTGGAGAAACGCAAACGATATGGATTTGAAATTTTAATAGCATATACAATTTGATTTAGAATATACCTAATACCCAATAGTTTTCAAGATATTAATTTTTTCGTTAAAATTCGCCTCTAATTTTTTTGTTATTATGTTTGCTGACATGGGGTTGGAATTTTTGGAATATTAAAACATTGTTTAAATAATTTAATTATTTAAAGGTTTTTCAACAAAAACCACTTGAAATTAGGAAAACTTCAAACAATAATAACGTTTTTATTATAAATGTAAAACCCTGTATGTTTTATTATAATCAAATAAAACATTAAAGAATCTTTCGATTGCAATTTCACAGGTTTGTCGATACAAAATAGTATTGAAAATATTAGAAATTGTTAAATGTCTCTGAAATTTTAACTTTAATACCATGGTATTATAATAACTGTTTCCTAAAGTTAAAATTTCAGAGACTTTTAACAATTTCTAATATTTTCAATACTATTTTGTATCAAAAAACCTGTGAAATTCTACATGTGGTTTAATGTGACAGTATCCATGGTGACCACCAAATATGTCATTGTTTAAAATTAATTAAAATATTTAATTGAAAAATTTATAACTCAAAAAATATTGACTTTAGGTACCCATAGGATATGGTATAGCCATTTTACTAAGAATTTTATGTAGAATTAAAAAATGTAAAAATATATGAGGTGTCCTGTTTGAAATAACAAAGTTAAAGACATTTTCGTTAAAACAGGGAGTATTATTTTGTTCAAAATAATTTAGGAAAAAAGTCTAAAGCGAATAATTTACGCTATTAAAATTTTAAATCAATGTCTAGAAATCCCTAGAAACTTCTAACGGACTACGTACGTGAAACACCCGTATATTAAACGTCATTTATGTGTTAGGCTATACTTAATTATTAAAAAGATACAACAATATATTTATAAAAATTACAAAATGTACTAAACTAAACATTTATGATTTTTAAGTACTGCATTTAGATGTAGAAATAAGGTAAAAAAGTTTCAATCTATTTCTTGAACCCTTGCAAATCTACCGTTCGATCCTTTCGCGAAACCGTAGTTAAATCGTAAACAATAAAAGTTTCTGTTAATACAATTATTATAAATTTCATTTTTTTGTTCATAAACTAAAATAACGAGTTCATCAAAATTTTTTACGCCACTATATTAAATTTAAAATCAGTTTCTGCAACCATATTGTAAAAAAAAATCAATTAATAAATGACTACTTTTTTTGTATCAATTTGTTTATGTTTAAAATATCTTACAAACTGGTCTGTTTGTTTGACAAACTTCTTATTCACAAAATAGGTTTTTCGAAATTTTCCACAATGTACATTTTAATTGAGGATGGCAAAATAAATGAATAAAACATCATGGAGTGACAAACAGTAAGAAAACCACAAACCTTGTCCTGATCGAGGCCCTTGGTCATGGCCCACGTGGACACCACATAGTCCATCACGCGTTCCGACAGCGCCTTGGGGACCTCGTGTAGCTTCATAAACTCCCTTACGTTGTTCAGCATGTCGTGATACTTTGCGGTCGCAGACGTCATCTGTTGAATAATCGTCGTCACGTGACCGAAGATTGTCGCATACAATAGGGCTGAAAATTAATAAATAAAATAGTTTAATAGATTATAATCAATCAATTGTAATTAATTATTGATAGGTTATATTATTAATTGTTATTTTATTGACTCCGATGTTGCTAAAACAAAAAAAAATGCAGAAGTTGATAAATCTAAAATTTGCATTTTCACATTAAATCAATAATTTAACCATCGCAGTAAATAATGTATAAAGTACCCTATTGGGAATCATAAAATACGGGAAATAATAGCTAAGATAACAGTATGGGAGGAAAATATGTTTTTGTACAAGGATTTGTTAAAACACAAATACAAATAATATTAAAACTATATTAAAACTAGCAATTTTAAACAATTTTAAAATATATGAAAAAGTGTTTAAAAGCATAAAACTTTTTTTATTAATTGTTAATTAATGGGGTTAATGGATAATATAATGCCCCTTATAATAATTGTCCAAGTTAGTTTTTTTACTTTGGTATCATCTAAATAATTTGTTTAAGGACTAAAAACAGATTTAAAACAATATATTTTTTCTGATATCTCGCTAATACATTTTTTCTTCTTCAAGTTAGCTTTATTTTTTTTAACTGGGTTTTGTCTAAATTAACTAAATTTTTATTTTCAATTTTTTTTACATAATAAACACATCTTAAATTGTTTATTAATATAAATGTCAAAATACACAAGAAAAATTTTTGTACAAAATTCTTCGCCCTAAAAAAAGGTCTCTTACGTTTTTTCGTTGAACCATCCAAACCATTTAAATAATATCGGAGGTCAAAGTTTAAAATATATAAAATAAAAATTAAAAGTATCATTAAGGCAGGGTTAAACGACAAAATTGTTTTTAGATAAATAATTTAGATGAACCCAAGTAAAAAAAAACAACTTGAAAAATAAGGGATAGGTAACATTTTTTTGTCAAGCACAAACTCAAACACAAACCTTTCTGCTTAACACGAAAATGTTATCCATTAACCCCTTAAATTGTTTTAAAAATGTTTTGACTATATTTGTTTTCTACATTTATATATTCATAATATAATTCTGGTCTAGTACATGTTCTAAGCAAAGCGTTGCGTATATTGTTCGATAAAGAAATAATCAGTTAAGACCTGATAAAGTTGGAAGCCGAAAATTTAAGTTGAACTTTTACTAACAGTGAAGAAAGTAAGTTTAAAGTATTTTCTTAGAATGATTTACAGTATTTTAATAGATTCACTGATAAAAACTTATACTATTTATTAAAAACTCATTATGACTAGAAAATAATATATCCTGAATTTTTATTATGAATCTAATAAGTCTAATAAGTCCCACAGACATTTGATGCAGAAACTGGTATTTTGAAAACTTGTCATTTAAGGCATTTTCGGTTATAGTAAATTTAAAAGGAAACGACGTACACGTCATAGATGACGTCATAATTTTGCGCACTGGTACCAATACTAAATGTATAAAACGAAGTCTGTAATTGAATATTTTAATGCATTTTAACCAAATTAAGTTGGCAGCAATTGCAATATTCTCATGTTTAGATTAAAATTTTGCTTAATAAAATGATGCATAGAAAAAGAAATTGACGTTTTAGAATTTCGAAGCTGTCAGTTGTGTTTTTGAATATTTCGTTTAATTCGTGTATAATTTCGTTTATTTTGTTTGTTGCTTGTGTTATTTTACATCGTTTAAGTTTTAATTGCCGTTTTTGCTTGTTATATATTGTTTTTTTGTTTTTCTTATATTTAAAATGCCGAAGCATTTAAATAGTCGGAGTAAAGAGTTGTTAATATCCTTAATACGCTATTTTAAGGCAAAATATAATATTTTTTGGCTATGCTTCATATAGGTTATAAAACTATGATTTTTGACATTTTGGTATTCTTAGGTCCCAAATCTAGGGACCCTATGGTATTATTCATGTAAACGCCATCTATCGCCCTGTAGTTGCACTACCACTTTCACTTGATGCAATGATTTTAGCATCACATCGACAACCGTGCCCGATCAGCTGATTGATGACGTATATGTCGTTTCCTTCTAAATTTACTATATGTACTAAGTTCCGCACATCAAAATCCCACCACGTGACTTTGATATAAATAATTAAGGTTAATTTTCTGTCAGTGTCAAGCTTATTTTCTTCATTTAATTAACCTAAATTATTTGTAGCAAAGTCACGTGGTGAGACTTTGATGTGTAGAGCATAGTACCTGTCAAAGTATATTCAAAGAAATAAATCAAAAATTAAATTTATTTATTTCATCAGGCTTTTTGTGCTAAGCTTAGTTTGAATGCCGATGCGTAGCGAATACACAAAATTAAGCGAAGCTTAAAAAGACACGTCTCGGCCGCATGGGTAAAACATTTTATCTCCAAGTCATAATTTTATTTGTTAAACAATACTAAAAACTTACAATTCTGTGGGTAAAAGGCATAAGGGGATAAGTCAATTTTTCAGTAAAGCCTTAAACGTATTTGCATTAATTCAGGAAATATATTTATGATTAGCAGGTATAGACTTTTGTTAGCACATGCCATATGCTAACAAAAGCGTATACCCGCTAATCATAAATATATTTCCTGAATTAATGCGAACACGTTAAGCTCTATTGATTTTTTGACTTATCCCCTTATGCCTTTTACCCACATAATAATAGTTATTATTAAGAAATTATTAGAAAGTAAGGTTACAATAGATCGTATTAGATCAGACATCATTAAAAGCATTAAAAGCATTCATATTTACTTTTACATTAATATTTTAGACTATTTACCCTTATAATCATTTGGCTACAGTAATGTATTTTAATGAATTTTCCTTTGTTAAAAAGTGTTGGGTTGGGTGTTGGGTTAGTTGGTTGGTTGGTTGGTTTTAGGTTTATCGTAATAATTACATGAAATCGTAAAATTATGACGTCAGTCGGGATCGAACTTAAGTTCTGCATCGGGACTATTGTGTCTACAGTGTGGCCAGCTTTAAAAAATTGCATTTCTTTGACTTAAAATTAATGGTAAATCCACAAAAAGTTTGTTGTAAATGCAGGAATGGTATAAATATAACTTTGTATAAATAAATGCATAATTTTAAAACTTGTGACATTTTATAATAAGGTACATGTTAATTTTTTGTCAAAGCCTACCTTAATATTGTGAAACCAAATAAAATGTTTAAATTGATTAGTATTTTATCGTCGATTGATTGAAAAGTAGTGTATTATTTTTTATGCGTGTTTTATTTCTCTATAGTACATTACATATCGAGTGGCGATAGGCAGAGATTTGTGAGAAGTTTTAAGTTTGCTGTACTAGCAAGGCGAGTGTAGCAACATACTCCCAAGAAATCGCCGCCTTTCTCCAGAAGGTGTGTACACTATTTTTTTATGACAAGCGCAACAAAATTTCCACTTTCGCTCAATTTTAAGAGAAAAAATCGTTAAAATGTACGTGCTTTTATAGATACATGAGCGGAGCATAAACAAAAATTTAAACCTAAAGACATTTTTGAAGTTGCAAAGTAAAGTCGTCCACTCTCCCCAGAAATCCGCCATTTTCGCGTCACTCAAAAGGCAGCGAAAGTTGAATTTTTGCTGCGCGTGTCATGAAAAATAAATTACTTGCAATAATTTAAAAAAGTCATTAATTGCAAATCAATCAACCACCGATCGTTAATTAAATTTAAAAAAGTATTGCTACAACTGAGTCAAATATTTATCGGTGCAAACGGTCCCAAAAATTTTTTTTTTAAGATTTAATAAAAAATTATACTTTTGGCCAATTTTTGGGCCAAAAGTATTTGTTTATAATTAATATTTTTTAAAGAACTGCTTTATTTAATTTAGTTTTAATTTTTTTCTAAAATTATAACAAGCTTTGCGGTAGTTACGAACATAAAATAAAATTAAAAAATGGTTTGCTATAACACTTTTGATGCATATAGAATAGTAAAAATTAACTTTTTAGCAATAACTAGTATTTGTAAACATATTACCTTCTTATTTTTGTTAATACAAAAAAGACATGCAAAAAAATAAGGAAAAATAAAAAAATTACAAAATCATAAGTAAATAAAACAACTTAATCAATACAATAAAGTATTATATATTTATATAATATATTATATATTTATTTTAAGTAATAAACATTAACTTGTATTTTTCTAACTTTTTAAATATTTATAAAAATTGTCTTAACATTTATAAAGACTCAATTTCCACATTTGGCACTTTTTTACAATACGCTCACTAGAGTATTTAGACATTTTTTGAATTTTTTATAAAAAACCCGTTTTATTACATGAAATCATTAAAATTGGTATATATATATTTTATGAATTAAATACTTAAACCAAGAATATCATTGGTTATGTAGCTAGGGGTTCTAATTAAACTAATAAAAGAAATTATACACAATCATAAAATTTTTTCCTTTAAAAAAGTACAATAATTACAATAAAGTATATATGTATATGAACCTGCAAAATATTGTAAATTTTATTAAAATCGGACAAATATTGTTCATTTTACAGCACTTTAAATTTTGAAAATTGTCCAATTCTGGATAAAAAACGATTTTATTTTGTTAAAAACAGGATTCTTAAAGGAAATAAATTTATAAATGTGTATAATTTATTTTAATAGTTTATTTATGTTCGATTTTGGGAATATGTTATCAAAAATTTGTTTACCACCCTGGGGTAAAATTACTGTAGACCAGTGTAATCGTTAAATTTTAAGGCTTTAAATAGAAGTCTCTGTAAACCAAAGCAATAAAGGCTTTATAAAGTTATTTCGGAATATAAACGTAAATCTCAAAAGGCATCTCTAAATGCCATGAGAAATAATGAAAAGCCAACTAATAAGAAATAGTAGATCGTTGGGAAAATTTAGGTTTTAAAGTATTAATGTATAATAAAACCTAAATATATTACTGTAAGCATGACAACTTATTAAGGTTAAAACCTAAAGAATATTTTTTTATAAAATGTTTAACCCCGGCGCATTCACCATTTTTG